CTTGCTATTTGCTAACGACACTATTGTTTTTTGCGATGTGAGTGTGAATCAATTGAGACACTTGAGGTGTGTTTTGGCCTGTTTTCAAGTTGTTTCGGGGCTGAAGATTAATATTGGGAAGAGGGTGATTGTTCCAGTAGGGGAGGTGGATTATATTCATGAGTTGGTAGCTACTTTGGGTTGCGGAGTGGAGGCTTTTCCATTTTCTTATTGGGCCCTTGTGTGCTTCCACGAGGAGAATTGCCGTTTGGGATCCAGTGGTGGAACGTTTTCAAAAGAGGTTATCTGGGTGGAAGAAGCAATACTTGTCGAAAGGGGGTAAACTCACATTGCTGAAGAGTACCCTCTCTAATCTTCCTACATATTTTATGTCTTTGATTCCAATTCCTAGAACAGTGATTGGTAGACTTAACAAGATTCAGGGGAACTTTTTGTTGGGGGGTGTAGGGGAGGAGTTCAAGTACCATCTTGTGAAATGGGAGAAAGTATGCACCCCTATTCAAAGAGGAAGCTTGGGGCTTCAAAGGTTGGAAATGTTTAACAAAGCTTTTTTAGTGAAATGGTTGTGGAGATTTGGGTGTGAAAGGTCCGTGCTTTGGAGGCGTGTTATTGCTTGTCGGTTTGGGGAATAAGAGGGTGGTTGGATATCTAGAGGTGTGTCTTCATCAGCAGGCATGGGTTCATGGAAAGGTATTAGGAGGGGTTGGGACGAGTTCTCTAAGCGGATACGGTTTAGAGTTAGGAATGGTCGTTATGTGAGGTTTTGGAAGGATGTTGGGTGTGGGGATGTGGTGTTGGCTTGTTGGTTCCCTAGACTCTTCAGGATGGTTGAGGATAAGCATGCGGTGGTTGCAGATTATTTTAGGCTAGAGAATGGGAGAGCTAGTTGGGATGTTATATTCCGCAGAAATTTTAACGATATGGAGTTGCTGGAGTTTATAGATTTAATGGGATTAATTTATAGTCAAGTGGTGGAGGGGGAAGGAAGGGATGAGATGGTGCGGATGGGGGATTCTAGAGGGGTGTTTGAGGTGAGGCCGTTTTACCAAAGCCTTACGAATTCGATAAGCAACGGTTTCCCTTGGAAGGCTGTATGGAGGACTTCAGCTCCATTGAAGATAGCTTTTTTCACGTGGACAGCGGTGCTTGGCAGCATTCTTACTCTTGACAATCTCAGAAAAAGACGCCAAATAACAGTTAATTGGTGTTGCATGTGTAAGAAGACAGGCAAATTGGTTAACCATCTCTTGCTGCACTATAAAGTGGCAGCGGATGTTTGGAGTATGGTCTTGAATGTTTTTGGGGTTGACTGGGTGGTGTCAAGGAACACGATGGATATGTTAGAGGCTTGGAGAGGGAGACTAATGGGCAGTCGGGTTAGAAAAGCGTGGAGGATTGCACCTCTTTGTATTTGGTGGGGGCTGTGGCACGAGCGGAACAGGAGATCTTTCGATGGAAAGGAGTCGCTGGTGTGGGCTATTAAGTTGACTATTTTGCATTCTCTTTATTCTTGGGTTAATGGGAAAAATTGCCCATCTATGGATAGCTTTTTGGATTTTGTTGACAACTTATCGTTGTAATGGCGCATTTTGCGTAATTTGTTTACTTTGTTAAGGGTTCGCTCCCCTCTGAGCGCCTTTGTTAATATATTTTTACTTATCAAAAAAAAAAATTTAATGACGAGATAATCGTTAAGAAAGTATCTATCTTATTTGAATTTGTTGTATTCTAAACAAGTCACTGGGATTTGTGGGCTTCAAAATGGATAGCAAGCCTACTATATGCGTTGTTAGTTGTGTTAAATGACTACGGACAATTAAGAAGGAAAAAAAAAAAATTGAATAGGGACAGTGGAATTGTAGGCTTCAAAGTGAAATTGTAGCTTATTGTTATGATAAATGACTCCGCACAATGGAATATTGCTGATATATGTGGTGGTGAAAAAAAAAAAATGACTAGGGACAGTGGAATTGTAGGCTTCAAAGTGGAATTGTAGCTTATTGTTATGATAAATGACTCCGCACAATGGAATATTGCTGATATATGTGGTGGTGACAATACAGTTTACATTGAAAAAATAAATAGTGTAGGGTATGCGACTATGCGCCATGTGGGATTCGAGGACCATTACCTAAGGTGTCAAAATACACATGATTAATTACACCTAGAGGGAGGTGAATTGGTCTAAATGGATATTAATTTTTAATTTACTTTTCAAATTACCACAACTACAACCACACCAACCAATCCTTCTCCCAATTCCACAGAAATCCCCTCAGCACCTTCCTTCCTATCCAACTCTGAAATTTCCATAAGCTGTTTTTTCCTCCACTCCAGCTTGCCAAACACATCCTTATTCCAGACCTTAATGTCGCCCTTTAAGTATCTCAACTTAAATGCCAATTGAAAGCTTGGATTACCCCTAACATCATAAGCACCCCACCAGTTCGTGCTTTCTTTGAACTCACCCACTCGTATCCACATGTTTTCAAATCTAAAAGGGGATCTTCCTCCCCTGATCCCTCCACAATCAAGCAAAATAGGAACATGATCAGGATTGCCCGCACGCACGCCACTTGTGACGCATCCGGAAATTTCTCCTCCATCTCCACTGAAATAAGAAATCTATCCAATCTAGAAAAAGGAGGAGGATCCCGCCCACTCAAACCATATGAATGCGCCTCCCACCATGGGAAGATCCAACAACCTATTAGCTTCCACAAACTCAGAGAAATCAGCCATTGCTCCATCCCACGCACCCCTAGAGGATCTCTCACTTATGTTAAGGACGGCATTAAAACCCTCCCCCCCCCCCCCCCCCCCCCCCAAAAAAAAAAAAAAAAAACACACACACACACACCACAGAACCCCCCATCTGCTTCTAATGATACCCAGTCCCTCCCACATCTCTCTACGCTCCACATCACCTACAGGCCCATAAACACCCGAAAAACACCACTTCGAACCATCTTCCTCAAACTCAAAAAGTAATGATAATGAATGCCTCCCTTCCCAAACATCAACCTTCGACACCCATCTCCTATCCCAAAGAACAGCAATTCCCCCAGCAGTCCCCTCTGCATCAATAACCTCCCAATCCACAAATCTAAACATCCCCCCCTCCGTCATAAGATGAGCCCCATCGCTCCCTTCTACGCTTTCCGTTGTGGGAACAAGCTCTGCCAATACCTCTTTCCAAATCGAAACTCTGTAACAGAAACTATTATCATGTATGAGCACAACCTTCGGGCAGTTTGTTCCAACTTTCACTATAATCCTAACACTTTCAGCATCTCTCGTTTCATCCGCCTCCGCACTGATAAAACCGCCACATAAATCCCCCACTTCAACAAAAAGTGCCAGACACCAGAGATGCAACGGAAGCCCAAACAGCCAAATTCGCTTAAGCCCTCTATCCTTAAGCACATCACAGCAACCGACCCTAAAAGACCATACATCAATACTCAAGGTAGCAGATCCCCACTGTCGCCATCCTTCCTTCAGCACCCTTTGAGCCTCCGATGGAGATGGAAACCTGAACAGGAGAAGAAAGTCAAATAATGGTGTCACACTCACCCCACACGACGTATTCCACGCCCGCGCTGCCCACTCCTCTATTCGATCACAACCCCCAACCTCTTTGTCAAAACGTCCGACCAAGCAGGACAACAACATCGATCTTCTCCCTTCAACTGACGCCTCATCAAGAGACAGCTGTGGCCCTCTATGAGGGATCGTTGTCTTAACAATCCCCCCCCCCCCCCAAAATGAAATCCTTGGGAGCCGTGCCACCTCAAGAAATGACTTCATCCCTTAACATATACATACATAACCCTAGCAGCCCAGGACAAGCCGTAACCCTAATCTCCCTAAAATTGCCCCTAGTATGGTGAAATCACCCCTACTAACTTGAAAAAAAAAAAAAAAGGAGAGAGGAAGAAAAAAAAGAGAGAAGAAAAAACGATTATCTCGTCATTAATAATTTTCCCAGTTTCAAATAAACGTAAAGCTCATTAAAGACCATGACAAATAGACTTAAAAATGTAAACACATACAAAGGACATTTGCCTACCTAATAAGTGTGTGCGCGTGTGTTGAATATATGACTGGAATAGAAAGACAAAGAGATGATGAAGATACAACTGAATAAGTAATGCAAAATACGAGAGATTCAAAGAACGGCAAAAAAGAATGAAAACAAGAATAAGAGGATTTTGAGAAATACAAGAAATAAAAAATGAAGCTTAGATGATGATAAATAAACCCAAACAAAATGCATTAAATGATTTATATGAAAAATTAGGGTACAGCAGTTTATATGAGGGTGAAAAGGCTTTACAATCTGAAAAAAGGTAAGAGATATGTTGACTAGACACGTGGATTCAGGACATGGATCAAACAATATCAGTTTAATAGAATGACTTATTAGATAGATGAAACAATTACATACAAAAATAAAGTCAGTCCATTGAAACATAATAGAAGTGGCACAAGAAAAATTAGAACTAGGTTTCACAGTACACTAACAGTAGATGTAACAAATGTTTCTTTTTCTCTTTTTGGTACCAAGAAAACGTTATAACAAATCATAAAAGGAATGTATCTCATGTGTGGATCAGTGGCCCACATGATATTAAATTACTTTTTTGAGGGGGAGGGCCCACTATACTAGTTTGCTACTGGGGTCCTCCCTCGTTGCCTTGGCATTGCACTAGTGCCTTGACCTGGCACTCCCCACCCTTTTACAGTAAAATATATATATATATATAATATTTAGCTTTTCTTTCTACAAAGAAGGTAGTCCAAAAAATAAAAAATGGAATGGCATGAACATCATTAAAACAAAAGGTCATGGCTGACAACGGAAAAGCACGATATAGCACAAGACAGAAACATTCAATACAGCAGAACTTCAAGCAGCCATTAAGTAGCAATATAATGTATCAAAAAATCTGAATCACTGACTCATAGAACAGCCAAATAATTGCATCAACTGAAACCTTTGCCAATTGTTGGGTCTGGATGATGTTTATGCATCTCTGAAATACAGGCTCAGCAAATTGAGAAAATCCGGTACGCAGTGCCTGAAAGAAGCAAGAGCATTCACTTTTATACCTCCTTTACTCCAAGTTATTATTCTTGTTGCACTGATCTAATTCCCAGTTATGAAGTCAGGCCCGGGGGGGGGGGGGGGGGGGGGGGGGGGGGGGTGGGGTGGTGGAGGGAATGAAAGAAAAAACAGTTTCTCTGCAATCACAGACTTGACAAAAAGGGTCAAAGAACAGTAGAAATGCATGAAATTGTGTCAGTGAAAAATATAAACAACAATAAGATGTAAAGAACAAACAAAAGTTCACTGCAAACTAAAATCTCTACATCTAAAAGAAAAGGAATTATTTATAACTCTGTTTAAATGCCGATTATTACTGGAAAAAGATCATGAGCCTCTAATATGATAACTGCCTTGGAGCAAGGGCCGATGTGATGGGTGATACTGCTGCTTCCAAATGAGTGAAGTATTCATATCATAGACATAGTCATGTCTGAGCGGACATGCACCAAGCAAACATCCAATAATTCAAGTTTATTATAGAAATTTTCATTTAAAAAAAAAAAAAAAATTAAAAACAAAAGAAAAGAAAAAAACTATCGTTTTTCTTTAGTTATATTGATGCTTTAAAACAAGTGAAACATGCAATGACACAAGTTTTACATAACATTAAAGCATCTAAGAGTAGCCAGCCTCATCTTGGAAACAATATGGAATACCTTTAAATGTCCATTTTTCTTTAAAAAAAATTAAAATCATGCTGTGCTCACCACAAGTCAAGCATCCAATTACACTATTTCATATAAAAAATAGTAATTTTGTAACAAAAAAGTACAAGAATATTAACATATATAATATCAAAAGTTTTACAATATTCACAAAACTTTATCTTCTAAATTATGTAACTCTTGATATAGAAATTAAAATTCTAAAGCCATTTGTATTCAATGACATATTTAAATAAAAAATTGTAAAAATATATAGTTGGGTCGACATTGCGTTGTTTCCTACTTTACTGGGATTTGACGTGTCAGTGCATACATGTCATATATTGTCCTTGTCATGGTTCGCAGCCGCGGTATTGGCTGCGGTCGCGGTCGCGGACGCCGACATGGTGTAACAAAATCGGCCTTGTATCAGCGTTACGAAACGGAACCAGTTATCGTAGCTTTATTTTTTTCAAAGTCGCACTTAGGGTTCGAAATGCACCGATACACATCTTTTTACAACATAATTCGAAAAAGATAACTTTTTAGTAAATTTTAATTATTTTTAGTGAATTTTTTAAGATCATTGAACATAAGTAATAATTTATTACCAACAGACCTGTGGCCTAGCGGTACAAGGCTCTTATCTCCCAAAGGGAGGTCAGGGTTCGAACCTCAGTAGAGGCAGTGTGTGTGAGTTTCCCAACTAGGAAAAAAAAAATAAGTAATAATTTATTTATAATTTTTAAGTTGCAGCCCTAATTATATTTTTTATTAAATTAATAAATAATAATAGATTTAATTATTAAATAAATCAACAACTCAATTGTTCGAGTTGCAAGTAAGGCCCAAAAATGAACCAATACACAACTTTTTATTATATAATTTGATAAAGGTTGATTGATAGAGGATATTAGAAATTTTAGTTAATTTTTAAAGAACATTTAACCCAAGTAGTTATGAATTAATTTTTTCCATGTTTTCTTTTAAACATAAGTGACACAACTATACATTTATTTTTTTAACTTTTATTTATTCTTTTTTTTATAAATTTAACCCACTGTCTTATATATTACATAAATATATAATTTTTTATGAACTAATACATATAATTTTTTCCTAATTTTGAAAATAATATTATAATTACTAATTTTTTTTATAAAAAAACAAAAACAAAGTAACAACAGCTGAAGCATCAAGGCCATGATGCTAACCGTACTTCCTCATCATCTATCTCAAGTCTCAACAAACCAGAGACACCAACAGATCGTTTCTGTACAAACTTAAAGCTTGTCTCCTTCTGTGTGTAAAAGGCAATAGTTGTGTTATGAAGAAAGTCATCGAGGACATGGTTTCTTTCCTTATTCTTTTCTTTTTGATCATATTCTTTCCTTGTTTCTTCTTCTTCTCTTCCTTTTTATTTATCTTCTATGCACTTCCGAACCAGCCAGTTCGCTAAGAGAGCCGGCCGGGTCAAGGTCATAATGGCCGTTTTGGCCAGGGTATCGGCCGGTTCTTCTGTGAATCCGTATGCAAATCAGTAAACCGGTGTGTAACGGAATCGGAAGTCCCCAAATCCATTGCGAACCATGGTTCTAATAGCATGTGCCCAGAGGTTATATAAAACTAGGAATAGGAAGATCATGCCCTCACACAAAGATAGGTCCCCGGATGCTATCTGTACAAACCACCTAGAAAACTTTTCACTGACGCTGGTTGCAAAGCCATCAGTGAATGAGTGAAACCAGTGTCTAAAAATCACTCAACCCTCTCTAAAGGATAAAATCTACAGGCTTCTTGGAAATAAGTTCCTCAAACACCACATAGCAAGAATGCGGATACAGGTAAAAGATATAGACACGGGGCATGGACTCAACATGATAATGACATGTGACATGGAAAATCTGAAAATAGGACACATGCATGGTGAGGACAAGACAACATTTACAAATACGTTCGAATATGTGTCACAAAACTCAATACTTTTATAGGGAACACATACAATTATGATCACTTTATTCACAATTCTACACTAACAATTGCATACTCGAGGGTGAAGTTTAACAAATGTTATAAAAGATATTTTAGATATATTTTACTACTAATACTACTCCGTAGTGATCTCTTTTTTGACAATATATTATTTACTTAACAAAAATAGAAACAACTATATTGTTTTTCTATAATCTAGTGCCTGATGTGTTAATCGACCTGTTCAGGTCATGTGTGTGACATGAAATTATAATGAAATTTTGTTTAAATTCTAGACACACGAGTCGTGTCAGACATTTCTGTGTGTCAAAGAAGTTATCAACATGTCAGGTATGGACATGCCCTCTAGGGGAGTATCCCTGCTTCTAACTTACATATCATTGATGTATCCCTTGAATATACCACTTAAAGCACTTGGTGGATCGCATCAACAAACCTAGGATAATATTTGATTCAATCAACAACTAATTACAGCTTCTACTGTCTATTTCTTGTGGCAGTAACTTCTTCAAGTAAAGGCATACTAATTTACACCAGAAAGACAACTTCTCTTGCATAGACTAGTAGCACAGCCAAAGGAAGACAGTAACAAGCACCTGTGCTATAGATGTAAAGCACTCCAGTAGCGGAAAAAGGTCTCTGTCTGAATTTGAAAGTTGCTGCCACTTTGCAATTAATGGTGGCATCAGAATATCAAGATACGTGGGCTGCAAATCATAATTATAGTGAATCAACACAAAATGTCCCATAACAAAAATAAGCATGTAATAAGTATCGGGTACTACCCTAGCCATATAGATGTGACTGTAGAGAAGAGACATATCACAATACACACATAAGCACCATTTTGCATATTTATTGTACCTGATTTAGCTCCCCTCCAACAGCATCAGCTAAAGTTCCAATAGCATCATATACAATTCTGAGGTTTCGCCTCTGATATAGTCACACGTATAAAAAACATAAGGCAGTGAGAGAGGGGGATATAAATTTATACATACATACAAACATACATACATACATACATATATATATATATAGAGAGAGAGAGAGAGAGATTTACAAACCACAATCTGAGCTTCAATGTGTAAAATCAATAGGTACTACGTCTCATCGTGAAACATTAAGATGAAATCAGCAAACAAAAGATGCAGAAAAAAAAAAAAAAAACCTGATATTTCCCAAAAGCACACATTAGGTGTTGCAGAATTATTTCCAAGCGGGGCGCCAACTCCTCCGCAGCCTCCTACAAACAGAATTAACCACCATTGAAATCTAAAATTTCAAAAACATAAATGCAATTATTTGTCTGTAATTTTTTGCATAAACCTCTTCAAGTGTTGCAAAAGCTGAACAAGCAGCCTCTTGCACCCGCTTGTTGTCATCCAATATTCTCCTTAGAAGCCCCATAAGAACTTTGTCAAATTGCTCATGGCCCTCTTGGTGACCAATTCCCTGAAATAGACATCCAAACAAATTGCTGATCAACTTGACAAATTATCAAAGCTCCTTCACAGTGAATCAAGAAAGATTCAAATTACATAAGGCACATAATTAAGGGAGACGTGATTAAAATCTACAGAAGAACAAACTTCAAAATGTGTTCTAAACTCAATTCAACAAAGACTTAGTCGGAGCAAAATAATTTAGGTTACAGGAGATATATAAAAAGTAAAAACTGTAAAGAACTGCACCCTCTATAACTTAGTCACAAAAACTAGAAAGTAGCAAAGACAATGAATGTGAGCCGGTGAGAAGCTATCATGTGATTATAAAACCAAGTTTGAGTCAATTTTGGTAATTTAAATACAGGTTAATTTCAATTTCCAACTCACAACTTCCAAGTTTATAAAGTGTTGTGCCCAACTATGAGATGTCCAAGCATTAGCAATATAAATCATTCAAAATCAAAGTACAAGAATTAAGCTCCCTTTTACATATAGGACACAAGTATAATGCGGGTAAATTACCCTGATCTCCCCTGAGGATTGGCCTAATTACCATGGTACATTAATCTAATTACCCTCACTTTTGTTATATACTCCCTCCATCCCAAAAAAAAGTGTCCTGCTTTGGGAAATGTGAGTCACATTTCCCAAAGTAGTACACTTGTGAGTCACATTTCCCAAAGCAGGACACTTTTTTTTGGACAAAGGTAGTATCTTATTAAGTCAATAAAACTTGACCTCCACTATATCCCTCAAGACCTTGTCACCTACTTTCTTCATCAATAAAAATCATGAAGTCTCTTCCCCCAAAACCATGTCACATGCTCTTATAAGATCAAACAAAAAGAACGTGGAGGCTCCATCTTCTATCTGAGCCTTTCAAAGAATCCAAACCATCATGCGCTTTCGAACTAGCTTCCATCATCAATCTTGGCTAAAAAAGCAGTTTTTGTCACTCTGAAACCGATATCTTGGTCATTGTTGCATTATACTAATTACTAACTTTAAGATTCACGGTAAGGATTACAATTTCTATACACAACAGTTGGTCTCTAAGAGCATTTACTCTCACAAATAATAGTACATTTCTCCACACAATGCATTAAATACAGAAGTGCATCGGATAGGCAGGCCATGGTGGTTGACTGTTATCAACTTGATAGCGGAAGATCGTATTGGGATATTCGTTTCACGAGGAACTTTCAGGATTGGGAGATCAAGGACGCCGTTGGTCTTTTAGAATTACTTTATCGCCAGGAGATCATGAGTGGAGATTCTGATGGCTGGCTGTGGGTCCATTCCTTAAAGATGTTTCATGGAGGGACTTGGGGTTCCATTCCGTGGAAGGCTGTTTGGGGCTCCAAAGCCCCCTTAAAGGTGGCTTTCTATGCTTGGACATCTGTTTTGGGGAAGATTTTGACTCAAGATAATTTGAGGAAAAGGAATCAGGTTGTGGTCAATTGCTGCTACATGTGTCGTAGAGATGAGGAGATGGTGAATCACCTTCTCTTGCATTGCACCATGGCTAGGGTGTGCTGGGATTTGATGCTTGGTTTGTTTGGTGTTCAGTGGGTTATGCCACGGTCCTCTACAGGGTTGATCGAGGCTTGGAGAGGTTGCATAGTGGGGGCCCAAGTCCGGGATGCTTGGAGGGTTATGCCATTGTGTGTCTGGTGGTGTCTTTGGCTCGAAAGAAACAAGAGATCCTTTGAAGGAAAGGAGACTCCTATCTCCATGCTTAAGTTCTCTATTATTACTACTCTTTTTTGTTGGGTTATAGGGAGAAATTATAGATATTTAGAGGAGATTGTAGATTTTTTGGACTCCTTGAAAGTTTAGAGGCCTTTTTGGCCTTGTGTAGTTCCCTTGGGATACGCTCCCCTTTTGATCACTTTTTATACATTTTACTTATCAAAAATATATATATATATATACACAGAAGTGCAACAAAAGAATAAATATGCTTGGAAGATCATTTTCTCATACGGTCGGACCTGAACTGCAGAAGTGCATCAGAAGAACAAATATGCTAGGAAAGATACTTTTCTCATTCAGTCATACCTGAACAATAAACCTGCTGAATCGAGAAAGTGTCCAACAGGAGATACTTCGTATCAAAGGAAACTTATCATCTAAAAGAGGGATAAGAAATGTGACAATCTGCAAATATAAACCAAATTAAACTTCTGCTATCAATTAGAATGTGAATAGAAAATGAAAAATACAATAGAACAATGTTTCTTCCAAAAAGATATAGTGATGTATATGATGGGAAAAATGCTACTGCTTAGAAACTGCACCATACCTCTTGTTAAATTATGGCCCACATTATTAAGATTAGAAAACCACTTTTCAGCAAAACTAATATTCCAGTTCCAAAGAAATATAGTGTGACCATGTAATAATTAATAATTGCAGGAGATATTATAGTTTTCCTTTCTATTTTGGTTATTTTAAGAGTTAATACTCGTACCCAATGTCACAATCAGATGTTGAAAGTTACACCTTCATCATTGCGACTTGGAACTTCAATTTTAAATTTTGGTTGATGTGAATGCCCATGGGACTCTATACATGATTCATAATGTAAATATACATATGGTTTACTATTCTAATAAGTAATCATACAACAGGATAATCCAAAAAAGTTATTATACATTAGGTAATAGAACTATTAAGTATCCCATAGAACCAAGTTAATTCTTCCAAAAGTAATTGATATTATAATTATGAACTTATTGAACAATTGCAGCAAAAGAAGATAAGAACTCCAAGACGAGCTACAGCAATACAAGATACAAGTAACTTAACTGAAAATCATAATATATATATATATATATATATATATATATATATCATGTTAACACCCAATGGTAACTATTTTTACATTGCCAACTTCAAAACCTATTAACAGCAAATCTTTTTTCCCTTTTTCTTTTTGATAGATAATAACCATCTAAATATAAAATAAACTACCTGTGACAGGTGAGGATATAAACCATTAATACAACCCTCAGCTATGGCACCAAGAGCTAAAACTGCAGCTTCTCTTTCTTTCCAGGTCTCGTCATCTGTAGTGGATAACTTGGCCTGCAGAGATTTAAAATTTCGAAGACAAATATTTGAAACATCTTCCAACCAATAGTAAATGATATAATGGACATTACCACTTGGTGCATGAAAATCTATTTGTACATACTTGAAAAGATAGATCAGCTAATATTTCCCAAGTGAATTTCATGTAGGGCTGCAAATGAACGGAGCTGTTCATGAACAGCTCGGGCTCGGCTCGTTAAAAGCTCGGCTCGGGCTTCGTTCGTTAAGTACACGAGCCAAGTTTGAGCACGATTTTCAGGCTCGTCTGATGGCTCGTGAACAGGATCATTTACATAAGACCCATTTTATTTGAATTTTATTATATTTATAAGCCTAGCCCATAACATTCAAGTTTAGTCCAGGTCACTTATAATTCATTGGCCAATTAATATTTTAATGGCAAGAAACCCATCTTAAATATAAAGTCTTTAACTAAACCCCATTAGCCCAACACATACTCATACTTAATCTCAGCCATTAGATTATGTTCTTACATAGCTACATCTAAGTCCAGATAGAAACCCTAGGCTGCAACAACACCACCCTTCGTTATGCTTGGCAACCACGCTTGGCAACCAATTTGAACTCCAACAACAAATTTCACAGCCGCTGCAACAACAACCTTCCTTAGGCAACTACTCTGCGACGGAAATCCCTAAACTCCATCTGCAACAAGTTAATTTGCTCGCTCGCTCTACTCCGATTGCTATGGAACTTGTGATTGATGGTTCTGCTTGAGATTCAAAGCTGGCAAAAGGAAGGATGAAGATCAGAGATCAATGGGTGAGATCGGGAGCTGCGATTGGAGGAAAAGGTGCAAATTTTTACCTCTAAACTAGTTTAGAAACCATCAGTGTATATATAATATATACATATATATAAACACAAAAACAAGCCGAGCCGAACTCAAGCTTGGCTAGACGAAGCTCACCCGAGCTGAGCCCGAGCACTTCTTTCACCTAGGCGAGACAAGCCCAACAACCTAAAGCTCGGCTCGGCTCATTTGCAGCCCTAATTTCATGACTGGCTTCCTTTGAAAAAGCAGCACATTTAGATAACTGTGAAGTTGTGGTTTTAATTTTGTTTCAGCCCGGGTCGCATTGCAACCTGGTTTCGACCCAAAGAAATTTTGATCCTTTTTTCTCCTGCAAGTCTTGGACCCTATTTAGGACTCTCTTGTAGCCTAGTATATAAGGGTGTTTAGGGTTTTGGAGTGGGAAATGAGAGAACACTGAAAACCGCAGGAAATATAGAGAGAGCGCTAGGTTTGGCAGCTGAAACTTGCACTCATGATTTTCGCATGCTAAAATCTTTCACCGGATCTTCACCATGGACATAGGCTTACGTCGAACCAAGTCAATCTTTGTGTTCTTTGCATGTGGCGTATTTACTTTTCTGTTTCTTGATTGTGTTCTTGGTTCGCAACGTTTGCCATAACAATAACCATTACAACAATTGATTCTTACCAATGGTGGCAGCTATTGTTGTACTCTTGCTTAAATTATCTCAAGTGCTTACAGCCCTCTAATGAATATATATATATATATATAGCAGTTTACTAAACAAATTTTACAAAACCCTAAACACTCCATATCAATTATGTGTAGAATTTTATTATGACAATCTGGATTAACATACCAACGAGATCCAGCACCTGCATAACATTTCACCAACATTACTGCCAAATGATAGGAGCAACCTCCAAACCAAATTATCCATACAGTACAATATCCAAGAACTCACTTAAATGTGTCCCCTTTAAATCCAAGAATCCCAATTCGCAGTTTTCACATAATGGAACCATGTGGTTTTCAGATCACTACAAGGAGCAACCTTGGTTTCCTTTCAATCAGTAACAAGGGAGAGACAGGGCACGATAGATGAGCTGGTAAACTAAGACAAGAAAATAGATCTGGGATGTGGTAGCTCTGAGAATGAACCCGAGAACTTAAAGGGGGTAAAAGGGAGAAGAAAAGAAAAGAAACAACAAATTCTTCCAGTAGTTTTGATCAGTTGGTGGAGGAAGTGATCGCCCTTTTTCACTACTTTTTGAGATCGAAACTCTCATGGATCCTTCACTGCATTGTTCCCACAGAAGGGAGGAGCTGTCGATATTAGGGATTATAGGCAAATTAGATTAGATAGGAATGTTCATAAATTAGCGGCCTAAGTCTTGTCTTTGAGGTTGGAGAGGGTGGCGGGGGATCATTTAGGGAGGGATTCATATTTTGCATGAGGTGTGGATTGCTAATGTACATGTGACCCCAAACTGAGAAGTATCAGCAAGCTTGGTGTAAACAGATCTTTTGAGATAATTTATGGCCGTGCTAACCGTGGGTCCTTGCTTTATATGTTATAAAGGACGTATTTTGGGGCAAAATGAAGGCAGATTGAGTGAGTCATGCATCTCTACAGTGAGGCTTGACTCCATCTCATCTATTGTTTGTTGATGACATTACTATACTCTAAGACGCAAAGGATTGTCCAGGTGTTCTGGATTTTTTGAGGTATAGTTTGGGATCAGGATAAAGGGTAAACTGCGAAAAGAGTAAGTTTTATTTGTTCTTTTTTTCTCCCCTTCTGATCAGTTAAGTACTCACACACTTTTGCCCGTGCGGACTCAAACCCCTCCCCCCCTCTTTGAGGATGGGGAGGTTATACCATTGGGAGACTGACTATAGCAAATGGGAGACTCTGACTATAGCAGATGTTCTCAAGGGAAGAAGAATCTTTCTCACCTCTTCTCTAAGACTGCTCTTGGGATCTTCCTTCAAAGGAGTTGAGCCCGTGTAAGAAAACCTTGCTTTGGAAATGGTTAACGAGATATGCAGAAGAGAAGTGTTTGTAGATGATCAAGGGAAATTATGAGAGTGAATGGGGAGGGAGAGCACAAAAGTGGGAACTTCTCCTGGGTGCTCTGGACGAATATTATGAAGGGAAATAGTAGTTCTCTAAAAAAGTTTGTATGGTTCTGGGGGCCAACACAAGATTTTGGCTTCCTGTCTGGAGTGGAGATGATGACATTAGGGAGAGATTTCCTAACCTAGTACAAATTGGCAGTTAATAAAGGAGATTTAGTGGCAAAGTATACTACCTTCAGCTAACACACACACACAGGGAGATCTTCTCAATGGACGGAGTAGCCTTGAATCCCATCTCCCGAAGAGCAATTAGGACTGTGGGACCGATTTTTGGTTTCCTTGTTGGATTTGTTAAAAGAGACCCACATGAGGGAAAAGAGGGAGGATCCAGTAAGAAGGAAGGTGACCAAGAGTAAATTATTCAGTGAAAGGTCCTTGGTGCATGAAGACTCAACTAAAGTTTTTCTTTCTCCAAAGACAGAAGGTACAAGCCTACAAGGGCAACTGGTTGATTAGTTTGTACGTAAAGAAGCAGCAAAGACTCCCATCCATCTTCTTCTTTTGCTTGCTTGGGATCTGTGGTGCCATGTTCTCTTTAGATGGGGTTTAGTAGGTGCTTCCAACTTCAGTAGAGGAGTTCTTTGGTGGTTGGAGAAGAGGATGCCCCAAGAGCATGGTTATAAGTATCGCCTGAGATGCAGCAAAACTGCTGAGCCATAACAGGCTTGGGTGCCAGCCATAACATTAATGAGGTGATGTGTACGAAGCCAAGGAGAAAAAACGTCGCAATGTCTATTACAATTATGAAACTTCCATTGCATCCAGCGTCTACACAGCAATTGTAACTGTTACAGTGGGCATTAACATTTCTCAAAAACATTCTAAGAAGGAGAGCCAGGAAGCTGTGGAACACGACCTCCCCCCCGCCCCTTCTGGTTTCTAGATGCCGTTCATTTGGTTAGCAAGAAGCATAGATTGTTCGAAGAAATGGAGCATCCTGTATCTCGTATCATTGTTTCTTGAGAAACAGAGTCGCTTTTCTCCCCTTTAAATTCATATGAAGATCTTTTAGGATACATCAGATTGCAGTCATTACGCCTCATGTGTACCTAGGTTGCACCCCCATTTTCAGGATTGGGAGTTGGATGATGTCACTGGCTTGTTGGCCCTTTTGTATAGACAGGAATTGGATGGCACTGGTGTGGATTCCTTGTTTTGGGTGCCTTCTTCTAATGGGACGTTCCAGGTCCGGTCATTCTTTGTGCGCCTCTCTGGGTTTCATGGGTTGCCCTTCCCGTGGAAGATGGTGTGGCTCTCTAAGGCACCCCTTAGGGTGGCCTTTTTTGTGTGGACTGCAGCTTGGAGTAAGATTCTGACTTTGGACAATTTACGGAAGAGAAGACATATCATGTTAACCGGTGTTGTCTTTGCAAGTGTTTTGGGGAGTCCGTGGACCATCTTCTGTTGCATTGTCCTGTTGCTTATGAATGTTGGAGTCTTTTGCTTGGTTTGTTTGGCATCCATTGGGTCATGCCTCAGACTTCTCGAGGATTGCTTGATATCTGGAGGGGCCAATGGGTGGGGGCTCAGGCTAGAGACTTCTAGAGGGTGACCCCTCTTTGCGTTTGGTGGAGTCTTTAGAAAGAGCGGAACAGAAGATCTTTTGATGGGAAGGAGTTCTCTATTGGAGAGCTGAAATTTTCTATTATTTGTACCCTTTTTGGGGTTGGGGAAGGGATTATTCTTCTTTAGAGGACATTGTGGACTTTTTGGGTTCTTTGAGTTCATAGATTCTTTTTGTGTATATCTCGGGACGCGTTCCCCTTTTGAACGATTTCTAATATATTTTACTTATTAAAAAAAATAAATAAATAAATATCCCAAAAAAAAATGGAAATGGAAATAAACAACAGAAATGGATCCAGTCTTTTTTTTTGTTTTTTGATAAGTGAAATGGATCCAGTCTTCAAAATGAAAATTTTACATTCAGTACCAATTGAATCAATTACCTGAACTATAGGCATCAATGTTGGTAGAATCTCGTCTCCAAACACATTCGAAATGATATCTAGAGCAGCTGCACTGCACTTCCGTAAATTCCAAATATTGACTATGTCATCATCCTACAGGAACAAAATCTTAAAATGGTCAACTAAAAGAAATATCATCCAATGACCTCCTTTGTCTAACTGTGATCAAAGCAAACCAAAGAAAGTCAAATTAAACGATTCAAATGGATGTTGCCAAACAATTTTCATGATTAACGCATAGAAAGATGACATGGTTGAAAACATACATCATCTTCTGCATTCTCTGATCCATGAAAGCGTGATGAATGAAAACGTGGCCTCAGATCCTGCACATTAGCAGTTTAATGAGAAAATATTTGAAAGACAATAGAATGAGCAGGAAATTGGGAGATTAGTAAAAACAAAACACCCAAAAGGTCAACCAAAAAAAAAAAAAAACCTGATCTCGATCTGGGAGAGACCCGTCCTCCTGCAATTATGTATTGATTTCAGGTAAAGAAAGAATATAATCAAACACATAGTCAGCAGAAAGCACAAGATGAGACCCAGAAAGCTTAACCTCAGCTTCTACAAGTGACTCATCATCATCCGCATAAACCATGTTTGACAACAAAACCTACAAAATTTGGATGTAATTCACAAAGAGAACACAATTAGACAAAATATAAGGACAAGAACAATCATGGCTTGAGCTGTACTGGAATTAAGCGCGGCAAGAATTCTCTCAAGTTTTCAGGTGGTAACTGAGCTTCACAATATGCTGACCTGCCAATAACAATCATTATTAGATTTTAGTACTGACAATAGAAGTTGATATTTAAGAGTAGAAAACACTTGAAAAAAAAAAAAAAAAATTCAAATAATCTATTACATACAGTGAAATAAGTTCAAGGTATCTCAGATTTCTCACTAAAAGGGAGGGACAGTAACAATCATGTGACAAGTCTACAGTGGTGAAAACCATTCTGAATAATTGATCATCATGAATTTGTAATTGCAAGAAGGAATAAGAATATGTCAAATGTAGCATGTGCCACTCTTTAAATAGTATCAGCTTCATATTTGAATGACTTCTGCAAATGCACGTCCAGAAAGAACAACGGTAATGACTTTAAAAAAAAAAAACTTGAAGATCCATTGAGAAACACCCTGCACTAACTTCACATTGGATTTAAAGAGAAGCAAAACAGGCTATTAAGCACCTTTTGTTGCACAACACCTTTTTTCCTAGTTGGTACAACACCTTTTTTCCTAGTTAACTTCGCATTGGATTTAAAGAGCAGCAGAACAGGCTAAACACCTTTTTTCCTAGTTGGTACTCCACCCCCCTTCAAGGAATTGTTTGCAGCCAACACTTTTTTGTTTTTTTGCACAACACTTTTCTTAAACCTTAGCCAAAAAAGGTGAAAACAAATGTGCATTACAAAATTTTAGCACCTGTCCAATAACCAATTCCAACCTTTCTTACATATCTTAAATAGCAATTCTAGATAATAACCAGATGTTGGTTTCTAGACGTTCGTGTTCTGTAATATGTTTCTCAATGAGAAGCAGGCATTATTTAGTAAGATTTTTTTTTTTTTTTTTTTTTTTTTTTTTTTTTTTTTTTTTTTTTTTTTACGAGGTTATAATAAAAAGCATTCAACCGGGGAATGTGGCCCACAAAACAAACAAGGACCAAATAGGGCTCCTATCCTCTCAATATGTCCAAAAAATCTACTATCTCCCCCATGGATTTACAATTTCTCCCAAAAAACCCAACAAAAAATGAACTAATGATATAGAATTTCAGAACCCCGATAGGAGTCTCCTCCCCATGGATCTCCTATTTTGTTCCTTCCACAAGCACCACCATACACACGGGCGCCACCCTCCAAAAGTCGCAACCTTGGAAACTCACACCCTATCCAAGCCTCAATCATGCCTAACGAGGACGGAGGCATAACCCACTAAACTCTAAACAGGGCCAAAAGCAACCCCCAGCTGTCCCTAGCCACAGGTCAATGCAACAGGAGATGATGAACCGACTCTTCATCCCTCTTGCACATGCTGCACAAATTCACTACAATCTGTCTCCTCTTTCTAGTCAGAATACACCCTAGAATAGCCATCCAAGTATAGAAGGCCAACTTAAGCGGAGCCTTTGTGCGCCAAATGGTTCTCCGAAAGAAACCAAGCCTCGGAGCATCCGAGAGAGCTTTATTGAACGAGCGCACGTTGAATCTCCCCTGAGAAGAGAGTGTTAGTATTTGTATGACTTAGCATAGCGAAATCTATTTGGATTGGAAAGACATAAGTTCCTTGCGTTATCTGAAATTATATATATGCTTTATATACAATTGTCAAACAAATTGAACCAGAAATAATCAACGAACCAAAATGAATGTATTAATTAGTGGTCGGATTGATGGCTTTAATTATCCGATAGCTAAATTATGCATTGAGAGATCAAGTTACAATATTGACTTAGTGGTTAATTACTTTCCGATTGGAGTGCAATTAATTTCTTTGAGTGGAATAGAGATTAATTTATGAATTAATTGAATTGGGTCCATGGTTGATGGACCGAGTCAATTATTAATTCAATTGAGCCAAAAAGATTGTAAGCCCAATGGATTCTCACCCATAGCCCATAATTGATGAGGCCCGAAAGGTTGGAAATACCACTTTTTGTGTAGAGATTGAGAATGATATTTCCAAGACATGTGCCTATATATACTAAAAGGCAATGTAAATGAAACAAGCTAGTGTGTATCTCTACAAGACAGCAGATACAATATTTCTCTCTCTACAACAAGGGTTTGGTGTATACTCATCTCTTTGGTTCCCACCAACCTCAAGCTTCCAAGGTCATCAATGGAGGATACATGGGTGATATCTTGAAGGCAAGGCCATGGTAGAGAAGGTAATGCTTGAAGAATCATCTAAAGAGTGAACATACGCTAAGAGGAAGGTTATGATACTTCTCGAGTCTTGTAGGTATGGTTTCTACATCATAACTATGAGATTCATCTTCTTCTTCTTGCATTAAAATGGTTCCTACACATGAATCCAGGTTTGGACTAGTAAAGCCCTCTTTGATTTTTGAAAATCTCCATTTCCCACAACAGAGAGCACCCATATTCAAGGGTCTGCAACACCTCCATTCACCTCCTAGCGATACAACATCTCCCAGTGCAGGAAATGCCTCAGAAAGTCATCCTCCTGCTATCAAGCAGATAACATTCAGCCACCAAGGCGTGCTTATCCATACTAATATAAAACAATCTAGGGAAGGTACAAGCCAACAAACGGTCACCACACCAGATGTCCTCCCAAAAGCTAGTGCCCCACTATCCCTAACCCTGAACATGATATGTTTGGATAATTCATCCCACCCCTTCCAAATGAACTTTCAGACACCAACCCCTCCAAGAATCCTCACCTCGTGAGAACACCAACCACCCCTCCTCCCCAAATCTGCTAGCAACGACCCTCCTACGGAGTCTCTATCTCTCAACCGAATCTCCATAACCACATCCACAACAGGGCCCGATTGAATGGCTTCAGTCTCCAGATCCCCAAACCATCTAGCTGAATCAGCCTGCAAACCTGCTCCCAGCAAACGAAATGGTACTTGAACTCCTCCCTCACACCACCCCACAAGAAGTTCCGCTGAAGCCTCTAAACCACCAAAGCAGGGATCTGAAAAAGAGATAGGAAGTAAGTAGGAAGACTCAACAAAATGCTCTTCACCCTCCCACCCTTGGAGAGAGAGTGCTTCTTCCACCCCAAAAGCCTCCTCTCAAACCTCTCAATCACCCGAACCCACCCACCAACTCTCCTCGAGGACAACCCCAAGTACAAAATAGGGAAGGATCCTACTCCGCAAACAAGGATTTCAGCAAAAACAGAAATCTCCGCAACCAACCAACCCTCCTCCCCAAATCTTCTAGCAATGATCCTCCTACAGAGTCTCTATATCTCCAAACCGAATCTCCATAACCACTTCCACAACAAGGCCTGATTGAACGTCATCAGTCTCCAAATCCCGAAACCACCTAATGGAATCGGCCTGAAACCTGCTCCCAGCAAACAAAATGGTACTTGAACTCATGCCTCATACAACCCCACAAGAAGTTCCACTGAAGCCTCTGAACCACCGCAGCAGGGATCTGAAAAAGAAATAGGAAGTAGGAAGGCTCAACAGCATGCTCTTCATCAGGGTGACCCTCCCACCCTCAGAGAGATACTGCTTCTTCCACCCCAAAAGCCTCCTCTCAAACCTCTCGATCACCCAATCCCACCCACCAACTCTCCTCAAGGGCAACCCCAAGTACAAAATAGGGAAGGATCCTACTCCGCAGCCAAGGATTTCACCAAAAACAGAAATCTACTCAACCTCCCCCACCGGAACCAGCAAATTCTTTCCACATTGATTTTCAGGCAAAAAAACAACCTGAAACCAAATCAAAACACATCTCAAGTATCTAATTTGGGACATGTCTTCATCACAAAAGGCTAGAGTGTCATCAGCAAACAATAGATGGGAAATCACCAACTGACTAGAATGACCTCTGCCCACTTTGACACCTTGAATAAAGCCCAACTCCATAGCCCTCCTTATCAGCTTGCCGAGAGCCTCCATCACAATAATAAATAACAAAGACGAGAGCGGATCCCCCTGCCTCAACCCCCTCGAACTGCTGAAAAATCCAGTTGGAGACCCGTTCACAAGAACCGAGAACCTCAGAACTCAATCCACTTCCTCCATTTCTCCCCAAACCCCATCCTCTCCAATAGGTAGAGTAAGAAGCTTAAACTCACATGGTCATAGGCCTTCTCAATGTCAAGCTTGCAAAACAAACCTAGAACCCCACTGCTCAATCTAGAAACCATCCAACACCTGCCGACCACCAACAAAAGCGTTTTGGGAGTCCGAGATGATACCATCCAACACAATCCTAAACCTCGAGGCTAGAACCTTAGCTACTAGCTTGTAAAAACATCGCACTGAGCTAATAGGTCTAAATTACCCCCTCCCCCCCCCCCCCCCCCCCCCCCCCTTTCTTGGGAATGAGGGCAATAAACGGATTTTAGCATCCGGACACGGAGCTTTGTCCCCATGACATCTTTTTAGAAAGATGTTAACGGATTTTAGCAGTCATTTCATTTTATACCCTTGACCCACAAGCAAAAAAAAAAATGGTGAAATACAAGTGGCAAGTAAGCCATTTGCTTTCCTTTCTCTTTTTCTCTTTTTCCTTTCTTTTTTTTCTCTTTTTTTTTTAAATAATAATAAATCATGATCAAGTAAAAAGGGAGATATCAAGTAAAAGTGGAGTGCACAATAGCAAGCCAACCCTCCACTAACAATAAAATAAAGCAGGCAAGAGAAGTTATAAAACCTCATCTGGAGAGAGATTAGATATGTCATGATTTAGAAAGTAAAAGATTTAAAAAAATAAAATAAAATAAAATAAATAAATAAATAATAAAGAACAAGAACATAAACGAGAAAGAAAATCCGTACTAGTCAATTCATCATATTAGTTGACATTTACAAACAAAACCTAGTGTCTTTAGACAAGTAATAAATTTCCCTGCTTGCACAACCAATACACTATCAACAAAAAATAAATCTCTAGAAACAAAAAATAAATTTAAGCAATTATCAGTTTTCACCAAGTCAGATAAGAACACAGAAGGGAACTTTTCTATTGATCTTTTTAGGGAAACAAACATAAATTCATATAAAGCAGACAAATGCCCAAAGATTATCCAATAAAACAGGTAAAAAGAAAGAGAAGGGGGCTGAACCCTAACATGTCCCACCACTCTATTGCACAAAACAATTATGACAGCTAAATGTTTTCCAAAAAAAAATAAAAATCAGAAACAAAAATCATGAAGGAGAGGAATACCAAAATTCACAGGCTTCAAGAGCCACTTCATCATCAGGGTCCTTGTTGACTATCAACATGTACTCTATCAGATTCCGCAAATGTGGCTGCAGTGCAATTTAAAAACCATATCAACAACAATAGAAGAAGAAAGAGAAAGAGAGGATGGAAGGGATTGGAAGCATAATATACATAGAAGTTAAAGATGCATAACCAAATCAGTTAATGGAATCATTTCAATTCTTAGCTTAGACACCCAGAAGAAATGAAGATAGGTATACATAAGAACAATAAAATATCATAAATTATACAATGCAACGATAAAGATATTAAAGACTGATATACAACAGAATAGAACACCCACCTCCAGAAAAGCTGGGCGAACTTCAATTAACTGAACAAAGGCCGAACAAACCTGTTTGACATATAAGCAAACGACAAATAGATGAGAATCCATAAAAGCTTCATATAAACCAAAGTGAAATCCATTCTGTAAAGCAAAATTGCCAAAAAGCTTAAATGTGGCAATTCTTGATCAGATAAGAACACTTGGATTCAGAAAATTTCATTAAACTCTAGAATCAAGTTATAATAGCCCCAATACACCAAGTAATTACATACTAACATTTCTATAACTTCTTCAATGAATGGCAAATTTTTTTGTTATTTTCACCAAATATTTTTGCTTATAAGCATCATACTGAATATATTAAAGTAAGGAGGGGGTACAACGAATATTAACCACACTGCTATTGACGAATGACTCCAAATGAAATCAAAAGCTAGAAAACAAGGAAATTTAACAAATAGTTAGTACGACCAGTAAAATGAAGAACTTCAAAACAACTCAATGAGTGGCAGGGAAATGGAAAGAGTTGTCATTATCAGGAAAATTTCCAATTAAGTGATATTATTTTGACAGCTACTTAAGATACCAAGTGCAAATAAAAACTTACCAATTTTCGAACCTCTGCAGCAGTGTCATTAGCAAGAACGAATAAACCTTGCAGGTATTTATCCATCGACATATATAAAACCTGTAAGCAGATAAAAAATTAACAAATATCAAACCCGCCACCAACAAGATAGAGATTAGGTCCAGTGGGTACAAACAAAAGAAAAAGAAAAAGGAAAAAAATGTACTCACAGTGGGCATCAGCATAATGTATTGATTGACAGAACCCAATGCTAGCTTTCTAAGCGAGGCATGTGGTGACTGAAAAAACTGCTTCGACAGAACCGGGTAAAAAATCAAAAAAGAAAATATATAAATAAAAACAATTTCAAGTTCAACAGCAAAAATGAAACAAAGAAAACTTAGAAGTTTGTAACCGTTTCCAACAAATGAAAAACGTCTGTCACCTGTAACAATTTAGGGAAGAATACGTTGATGGGCCGCTCAGACAATCCAGGCATATCTGCATCAAGCACTTGAGGGATATCCTCACAAATCTGTTTACACGACATCATTGGTGTGTCAACATAATATATTTTCACAAGAACGCATATTCTATTTGATTTCTTTTCTATGCAGAGATTATCAAATGATTACTGTTACCGCCACCTGCAAATATAACCTTGCCTTAAGGATCTAAAAAGGTTGTAAAGGCAGAGAAACAAGAAGAGACCCCAATAATTTCCTTACGGCAAGGTCGTGTGAATGAAAAAGTTGCATATTGAGACATGGCAGTAATAAGTGATATCAAACTAGCATAAACACTCAAAGACCCCTAATAACTAGTAGTCTACAAGTTAGTAACATCTACTATTAACTTAATACCATTGTATTAATTTTGTAGCATCTAGTAATTAATTTTATCTTTTTCTTTGTTAAAACACAAGGAAAATATTACGACAAGAAAAAGAGAAATATGAAGCATGGGAGGATGATATGCATGATATTCTCTAATGAATGACTAATGAATAATGTATATACATAAGAATGTGCTGAAAATTGTGTTGAAAATTCCTAGTCTAATTAGGTATCTATTTTGGTGTTGTATTTTATTAGGTAAAATCTTGTTAGACAAGTCTTGGACTCCAAGGAATTGTAATGCTTGTCCAACAAGGAATTGTGTTTATAACTCTATAAATAGGTACCGAGGCTCTGGGTTGAGAGACTTATGAGATTGAGAGAGATGTAGTCTAATGAGCGAGTTGATAGGCAGAGGTAGTTTATGGGTTGGTAGAGTAGGAAAAACACTAGTGTCAGTAGCGAGAGGACTGACTTGTGGAGTGGTACATGGTAAGAAAGCATGTATGCGGTGTTGATACTCTATTATTGTAAAATCTCTACAAATCATAGTGGAATCTCTTCTCATCCGTGGATGTAGGCCTGTTTGTGCCGAACCACGTTATATCTTGTGTTTGTGTGTGATTGCTTTGTTGGGTTTCTTTGGATTTTACGTTCTCATGCTTCCGCTGCCCAAACAGAATGCATAGCCATCACTCATACGTTAACAAGTTGACCCCAAACATAGAAAAACAAAAGCTCCGGTTATTTATCTAAACTCAAATATATAAATTTCTTATAGAAACTCTAAAAGATCAGCTCATACTAGTAAGTCAGAAATTTCAAGAAAATTACCATCTAGACTCTCTATTCACTAGAAGAAATTATTCGTGGATTATTCCATGTAAAAAGTGCAAGATTATTAAGTATTCTCCAATTATTTAGTAAATTTATACCTACATCAACAATTCTAGACCAAGTTACCTAATCAGCCAACTGGAGCCCATTCTCCCACTATTAATCCATAGATTTGCAGATTCAGAGTGGATCTATGGCAGCTCTTTATCTGTGCAGATCAGCCATCCAGAAAGCACATATTTTGAAGAATTACATGCTCCATGTATTTTGGGCTTTTATATTGTTTTGACCCCATCCCACCATGGACTAATCAACCAGATTCTTGAGTTGGTCTTTTCATGTCACTTTGGTGTGTTTTACATGGCCTAGCCTGAATCTTCAGCTCATTTACATGCAGCCTGGAACCTATTTAATCCCTCTGTCCCAAAATTCTTGGGGTGTTTGGGGAATGCAACTTTTTATGGTAGTGGGTTTTAATACTTTTTTATTGTACTGATAAGAGTGAATTTCTAAATTTATCCTTGTTAAAAGACAAAGGAGTACTCTGTAATTAGTGCACTTGTTTTATCCTTGTTCAAAAGGATAGTTTGGGAATGTTATAAAAAAATAGTACATCCATTTTTGGAATGTGACATGTATTTTGGGACATCCCAAAATACAAATATGGACAAGGATTTTGGGACGGAGGGAGTATCAAAGTTCTTAAGTTCGCAACATAGGTATTTGTTAGGAATGGTGTCTCAAATATTCTAATTAGGTTTCTATTTTAGAGTTGTATTCTATAAGGTAATTTTTTGTTAGGCAAGTCTTGGGCTCCAAGGAATTGTAATTCTTGACCATCAAGGAATTGGGTTTGGAACTCTATAAATAGATGTGGAGTTGAGTGGAGAAGGTAGAGAAGAAAAGAGAACAGAGAAGAGAAGGGAGTGGGTGAGAGTAGAGAGATGCAACTTCATAGAAATTGGTAAGTGTGAATTATGAGGAAAACAAAATGAAAACAGTGAGTGTTGGGTGGTGCGGGGGTAGAAATTATGAGTGAGTGGGTAGAACACCGAAGGTGAAGAATGGTAGACCGTGAAAGACTCGAGTATCCAACATCATACCTGAGTAGAGAATGTGAGTACACGATTCAATGTTCAAAGTCTCTCTAGTGAAATTTATCATGAGGCAGAGAGTGAGTGAGCATTCTCTACAGTTGTATATTCTCTTCTTAATTCATTATAGGGAAATTTCTTCTCTTCATGGAGGTGGGTCGGAGTTCGTCCAAACCACATAAAATATTGTGTTATTATGTGTGCTTGTTTGTATCATGCTTTCTTTGTGTCGAACGAAGGGGATTTAATTCCCAACAATATTGAACTCAAAAAAACCACCCATGTGCCTAACCATCGTTGTTAAAGTTCTAAACCCACAATTCATGTGCTCTATAATTTTATGATCCCGAAATATTAAATGTCTAAAGCCCACAAAAAATACCATATCTGTTGTATCCTTTTAAGATGCATAAACTGTCAGATTCCAAATTGACTCCCACTCCACCAATTTCATTGTGCAATCTTATATAGCTATTCTTGTTCACCTTTTTGATAAGTTAGGGCCAGAGAGCCGAATAGTATCATAAAACAAAGATCAAAGTCCACATAACTGAACAAAAGAGGATGGATATGCACCCTCCCATGATCCCATCACTCCCTCCCCTAGGGATGCCTCTTCCATCCTTCCTCCTCTCCCTTCCTCTATTTTTCCATCCCTTCTACCAAACGAAGCATAAGACTTCGTGCTCTAGCTTCCGCTCTCACCTTTACAATCAGAGTTGCATCAGGGTTGTGTTTTACATTTATTTTTTTTAAAATACTCATTTCTTGCTGTAATTTCCACTAATAGAAAAGAAAAGGAGAGACAAGAATAAGAACGGTAATGAGCACAAACAAGGACCGGTCTTTGCCGTTGAAGGGTGGCTGTGTTTTCCTGTAGAAATTCACATTTTAAGCTAGTTTTAGCATTTTAAGAATTTTCATTACTCAAGCTTTAAGTAGGATATTTTTTTTTCCCTGAATGGGGTATATTATATAACGAAAACTGTTCTTTAAGTAGGATTTCCTTTGTATGTTCACACTTTGATGCATTAAAAGTGTGGATGTCTTATTAATTATTATTGCTGACTATATAAATGTTGGGATTGCTAACTAAAACAAGTGTATGTGCATGTGTCTGATAATTAGATGTTGGGATTGCTCACTAAAATAGGAGTATGTGCATGCACCTCATCTATTCACTTTATAGACATTGAAAATTTTGCTAGAAATTGTCAATGCAAAGTGGTGGTAACAAGGTCACCACAAAAATTCTGGAGGTTAGGTGTTAGAAGGGTCTTGTCCTATATCGGATCCAGATGGAAAGAGAATGAGTATATATGGGCGGGTAGGCAACGCTACCCAATAGCTTAAGCTTTTGGGTCATTGGCAAGCGCCCAACCCATTACAGCTAGTATCAGAACCAGACGCGATACTTAATCCTGAGTCACGCCAAGCGCCCATCGAAAGGAGTCCTGGTTTGCTCCGGGCAGGCAAGGTGATTCAACCACAACGAGGGTGTTGCGAGTTCGAGTGGGCGAGTTCGAGTGTGTATAAGATTATTGCGGAAGTGCTAGCCATTCGACTGAGGAGAGTGCTTGGTGATCTCAGAATGCTTTTGTTGGAGGGCGTCAAATTATGGATTCAGTGTTTGATTGCCAGTGAGTGTATTAAGGCTAGGGCGAGAAGTGGAATTCCGGGGGACGTATGCAAACTGGATATTGAAAAGGCTAATGATCATGCCTACTGGGATTTTTTGATGCATATGATGAAGCGAATGGGTTTTGGTCAAAAGTGAAGGGCGTGGAATTTTTTTCGCAGTTCAACAGCATGTTTCTCTATCTTAGTGAATGGATCTCCGGCTGGATTCTTTGCTAGTTCTCGAGGCTTGTGGCAGGGGGACCCTCTCTCCCCCTTCTTGTTTGTTATTGTCATGGAGGCTTTTAGTCGATTGATGGGGAGGGCAAGGGAGCTTGGGGTTATTCAGGGATTCGCAGTGGATAGAGCCCCTAATCAGTTGATCATTTCCCACTTGCTTTTTGTGGATGATACCATTGTCATTTGTGATGCTAATCTTCATTAGCTAAGGTATTTAAGGTGCGTGTTGGCATGTTTCCAAGTTGTTTCTTGTTTGAAGATCAATATTGGAAAAAGTGAGATTGTCCCAGTTAAGGTGGTGGAGGATATTCAAGTTTTGGTTGATACTCTTTTCTGATCTCCTACTTGGGACTCCCTTTGGGAGCCTCTTCGAGGAGAATTTATTTTTGGGATCTGATTGTTGAGAGGTTTGAGAAGAGTCTTGCAGGTTGGAAGAAACAATACTTCTCAAAAGGGGGGAGGACCACTCTTATGAAAAGCACACTCTCAAGTCTCCCGACCTAATTTATGCCATTTTTTCCGATGCCCAAGACAGTTGTTAGAAGACTTGATGTTATTCAGAGGAAGTTCTTGGGGGGTGGTTTAGGTGATGAGTTCAAGTGTCACATGGTTGACTGGGAAAGAGTGTGTTCCCCAATTAAAATGGGGGGTTTGGGCATTCGAAGGATGGATGTGTTTAATAAGGTGTCGTTGGGCAAGTGGTTGTGGAGATTTGGGTGAGAAAGGGCCAAGCTTTGGAGGCGTGTCATCGATTATCATTACAGGGAGGGTGATGGTGGGATGATAGATTCCCAAAGGGTATGGGCTCTTGGAATCTTATCAGTAGAGGTTGGGATGAATTCTCTAAAAGGATTCGGATCAAGATTCAAACTTCAAAGTGGAAGAAATGTCAGGTTTTGGAAAGATAGATG